GGACCCATTCAAGGTCATTACATTTCTTCCCATCCCTTCTGTGGGAGCAGCGAAGTTTTGGCAGAAAAGCAGTTGTTGTCGATAATGTTTTTGAAAACATGATTTTAACTCTATGGCAATATTTGTTATACTTTTGAAATTCCGTAGGCCATCTGAAGATGGAAATTTGCAATTTAGAGAGAAGACATATCACAGATCATCAATCTGTCAAAATTGGGAGGATTATCTCCACATACTGTTTGTGGCCAGCAGTAAAGAATATAATGAATAAAAATATGTAAATTGCGTGAAGTCCATCATGTGGTCCAAAATGTCCCATATACAATATTGTTAAGACAAGTGACTGTTCTTTTTCTCCCCCGCAGCATCAACTGACTGCAATAAGTTAACCAAACGTCACACAAGTCGAAAAACTTGAAAGGGTTGTGTATGGGAGACAATCACAATTGTTTAAGGTGTGAATTTGTCTTTATGTTATTACAGAAAAGATGTAAGCAAATAAAGTCTTGGTGGTTATCACATTCCAAGTCAATATCTATCAGTTCAGGCAGCGGTGCACTCGAAATATTCATGTCTGAGTTGAGCCACTCAGTTTTCTTACATTTTCTATACAATCTGCATTGTTCAGGCATTAGTCTTTTGGGTTTTTCTGATACCTTTTAAATTTTTCTTTCCAATTTCCTTTGCAATTTCTTGACATATAAAAATTTTTTTCAACTCGCACAATTATTGACTTATAACTTTACAAATTCAATTTTATTAGTTATTATTACTAAACAATAACTGATAAAATAGAATTTGTTATTATTGCTAAAAAATATTGTAGATCCTGTCATTCTGTATAAATCAACACCAATTTCAACATCCTATCTCTTCACAATCCAAAGTTTCACTGCCCAAATGCTGCACCAAGTTGGCATTTTCAGTGTTCACAGACAACTGCTACCCCTCGTTCGCACACCCCATTTCCACTCCCCCTCACCATTACCCACCATTTTAAATATGAACATAAACCATCTACCCAACAAAATTTAAATCATTAGATTATCATTTATATTAGGTTGTTCAGAAAGTAAGTTCGTTTTTTTTTTACCACTAGATGGATTAGTCGTACCTTTCTCGCCATTTTCATTCTAAACCGTATTATCATTATATATTTTGACAGCTAGCATTTTAAGGCTTATTTGTAAAAAATTTTGTTAGATTCTGTGCAATTGTTTATTTTTTGTGTTCCATCAAATATGGAAGATTGGAAGCAGCATTTTCGGATTATTTTGCTCTTTTATTACAGAANATATAAAAACAATAAAAAATTATACTTCAGAAGTTAATTTAGTATCAAAAACGTAAAATATTTGAGTAGCCCAAGACATAGCCAAAGATTGCAGCGCCACAGCACTGGCGAAAATTTAAATTTGCCGACTGGAATTCTTTCAGATAATTGACTTTCGGATAATCAACGCTCTACTGTATTATTATATACTCTTCTGGAATATATATATAAAGAACTCTTAAACTAAATAACTAATAAAAAAATATAGTTCAATAGTCATTCTTACTTTTCTATCTTAGTAAAATTCTCTTCTTGATAAACACTTTCTTTTTGTGATGGTTCTTCTAATTTAATTTCTAATGATTTCTGTTCAACATCTAAAACATTTATCATATTATTAATATTAAAAACTAATTTCTATGATTTAATAAATTATAACATATCACTAATCAAATGATAAAGCCAAATTAACTATTGTGTTAGAACTAATTAATTATACAGATATTATATAATTTAAACTAAAGATTTATTTCTAATTATTGAATGTAATACAAGATAACAGCTTAACCATTTACTTTATTCCAAATTACATAATATCCATATAAGTAATTTTAGCCAAATTCTAGCACAATAGTTAATCTGACTTTATCATTTGATTACTACAATTCAGGATTGGTTTCTATATAATTAGAACATATCAAATCAACTAGACGAGTGGTTCTCAATGGGAGTAATAAAACATTTCAGAGGCCACAAAAAATATAAAAGGATATATTTCAGTGGTCACAGGAACTGCCAATGGGCAACCAGAGCTAAAAGCATATTAATTTATAAAGTAAAATATAAAATCTATTTTTATATTTTGTACAAATTAATTCTAAATGTCATATTACAGAAGTCCTAACTGAAAATCCAATTACAAGGAGAACATTGTTTTTATAATAATAATCGTGGCTATTGTATCATTAAAAATTATTTCTTTAATTTGTACAAACAAAATAAATATATTGAAAAATATAAAAACAATAAAAAATTGTACTTCAGAAGTTAATCCTCTCTCAAAACTTCTTTCCGTTTGCCTCAGGTCCAAGACAAAGAATGTCCTTTTTCTCCTCTCTGTAATTGTGGGAGCCCTCAATCTTCATGAGTAATTTTTCCATGTGGANCAAAAACGTAAAATATTTGAGTAGCCCAAGACATAGCCAAAGATTGCAGCGCCACAGCACTGGCAAAAATTTAAATTTGCCGACTGGAATTCTTTCGGATAATTGAAGTTTCGGATAACTGACTTTCGGATAATTGACTTTCGGGGAAAAATTTATATGATGAAATGAAACCAAGGTTCAGATGCTTATTAGAAATAGAAAGTCAGAATGGGTAGTGACCCATTCTAGAACTTTCCATTTGAAGTAAATATAGCTATTATGGATATAGAACTAAAAGAATGTCTTGTGGATCTGCAAAGTGATTCAAGCAAGATTCAGGAACAACCAAAACACTTTCTGGATTAGTGCAGAAATTGAAAATAAGTTTCCTCAGTTTTGGAACGAGGCAAAAAAAATTTTATAAGTTATTCCAAATTCCTATTTGGTTGAATTTGGTTTAGTAGAGTTATTCATCTGATAGCAAAAGCCTGAAAGAGATTGGATATTGAAAACAGAAAAATCTTCAACTATGTTTAATGAATTTCCAGCCAAATATACAAAAACTTGCTTCTTCTCATCAAGATCACACTATAAGTCTTAAACTAAAACTTTTATATTTTTAAACATTTATCTATTTTAAATTTATTTTAATAACATCTAATATTTTTTACAAACTTATGAAATATGTGAAATTTTTTCCTAGTTTATAATTATTACTTTTGGTTTTCTAGCTTTTGTTTTAAGTTCTATCAAATTATGATCTTTTCATTGGAATTTCCTCAAGAGAAAAAAAATCATATTTATTGATATGAAAATAAATGTTTCCAGTTCCATTATCTTCTTGTTCTAATTATCATTTCCAAATTTACAATGCAATCCTTTATTGGATTATTGTTCAGAAAAATATAATTATCTGATTGAGGGGCACAGAACTTAAGCAAGCCTTCAAGATAGTCATGAGACAAAAAAGGTTGGGAATCATTAAACTAAACCATCAATAATAGTCAAAGCTGGAACTTCAGTGGTGCCTGACTTAAATAAATGGATCTACAGTGAACAAAAATTATGAACTGCAGAGATATTAGAGATTTTTAAATCTACATTAAGAGAACAATGTATTAATAGCTGAGACTGTGTGATACTATTCCTTTGCATGGCAATTGTTATTTAATAACTCCTAAAAAAAGGAGAGCAACAAAAATGTGGTATATTGTAAAAAACCATGGCATTGTCATAGCCCATCAGTTTACTTTGTTTGCTTTTGTTTCTTTATTGTTAACTTTACTTTTATTCTTAATTGTATTCCAATCTATTCAGGATACAAACCAAATGAGCAATATATCAGATGGTGTGATATAACTGATGTATCTATCCATATGTTTTGTCTATTTTTGATCTACATGTTGACTTGAATTTTGCAGGTTGTATTTCATACAATGATAGTTTAAAAGTCATTAATTGGAATAAAGTAACATTTCTTTTTTCAGTAGAAATTCAATGACACCTGATTTTTTAAAAATTATTTGCTAAAGTACTTTTATATTTGGATGGCAAAAATAAATGAAATATATTTCAATGTATAATATAACAAGTTGTGATATAATGATGTGAGGTTACTGTACAAAAAATGTTAACACTCTATAGAGAAGTAAAATATAAGATTTTAAATATTTACATAAAACTTTTTATATTAGTATTATAGAGAATTTATATTATTAGTCAACAATATTTAATGTATTATTACATTTAGTTTTAAATTTATGCCCAATTCTTAAATCCAAAGACATAAATAATCAAATGCATACATTTGTATTAAAATTTTACTGGCAAAAAAATATGACTAATTTGATATTTCAGAACATTTGACATAAAAAGAAAAATTATAAATTATTCAGGAAAGAATTTATATTTTCTATCAATTTAATTCAGAGTTTCTAAGAACAAACAATAAAAGTTATTTTAAAATTGTTTGTTTGTATATTATGCTGTTGTTATTTTATTCTTGTAAGTAATGAAGGTAAAATATAATTTATGCATAAAGTGTTAAGTCTTCTGGTTAATTTGTAATCTATCTTTTTAATCTATTTTTAATACACATATATTTCTGCTATGGAATTACATCAGTTCAATTTTTATCATTCCATGTAACACAGTAAATTGCAGAATTACATTAGTAGACATACCTTTAATTTAATTAATAAATTTGTCTCCTCTTTTCAAATAAATATTTTAGTTGAAAATTAATTCTATTTAGTTTAATTAAAACTAATATAAACTTTCAAAAAGTAGTAATTTAAAAACTACCTTTTTGCTTAGAATTTTCCACGACCTGATTTTCATCTTGACCAGTAGCTAATAAACCAAACTTTGCAGCTAAATCTGAAATTTTTGCCGTAGTTTCAGCCCTATTTAATTCTGGTTCATCATCAAAGTCATCAAGATTTCCAATATCTTGATCTAATGGGAGCTGAATACTTATTAGACTGGCTATACTTTGCATATCTTCATCACTGCATTAACAAAAAGTTTTATAAAAGAAATTCATCATCATCTTAGTTTTGTTATAAAACAAATACTATTGATACATTCAAATTTTTAAATATCAATACTTACGTTGCTTTTCCTTCTCGAAGAAATACACAAGATAATTTAAGATTTAAATAGGCAGAAGATACTTTTTTTGATAAAAGTTTGAAATCTATTTTTAACTCCGTTTGAAATGGTATCATACTTGCATATTGTTTCATATTTATATTAGCTGTAGCTACTTGACGCCGTTTTCCTGTCGTTGAAATCTACAAAAAAAGATAAAAAGATGTTTCTTACGAAAAAAATTGTGTTTACAAAATATAGTTAGTTTTATAAAAAATACTTTTTTTGTATTCTAAATAAATTGTGAAATATAATTATATCATTATAATTTAACATTACTATTCATCTTCAGATAAAAACTTAACAGAAAAATATAATGCAATTTAATATTACAAAGAAAAATTTTCCAAACACTCTATATGGAGTCTAAAAATATTTGTTTTTCTTTTAGTCAGACAAAATTTGTCATACTAGAAAGATACATTTTATCATCTTTAAGTAAGAAAATAAATTTTATTATATAATTATATAATAAACAAACAATGCAGTAAAATATATAATTGAAAAAAATCCATAATCTGATATGTTAAACTAAACAACTAAATTATTTAAGGATTATTTCAAAAAACTACATTAAATTATTATGAAATATTGCATTAAAGGTACAAGAGTCGTCTAAAAAAAGTTAGCAATTAAAATTAATCCAAATCATTCATTTCTTATGAAACAGCAGCATCTTCTATTTTCTATGAAATTTAATTAGTTTAAAGTTATATTAAATTAAATTAAATGTAGTTTTGAAATAATCCATAAATAATTTAATTGTTTGCTTTAACATAAACTAATATAACTCAAAGTATTCAATATATTTGTTATAACTGATAACTATTCAAATAAAAAATATCTATACATAGATTTAAAGCCTCACTTTTTATCTAGTGCTGAGTTTTATAGATCTAAATATCACAGAAAATAAATTTTCATGGTTTTAACCTATTTGCTGCTGGCCTTGCTTTCAATTCAATTTAATAATAATTGCAATAACTTTTTAAAATATCCAGCAGTAGATTTCATAACTTTCTCAGCAAAAAATTAAAATTCAAAATCAAAGCTGGAACAGATAATGCAAAATCAAAATCATTCACACTTTTCTAGCAAGTGGGTTTAATGAACAAATATACAAATGTTTTTGATTTATTTTATAAACCTGGCTCAGTTTTAAGCTACAAAATTCTGAAATTCCAAATTGAAATGTTTCAAACATTCAATTACGTTATTTATAAAATTTTTATATAAACTGAAAATTTTATATATTTGTTCATTAAACCCATTTGCTGGAAAATTGTGAATGGTTTTGGTTTTATGATAACTTATGATAAGTTCTCCATAGCAATTTTGTGCTTAATTCCAAAGAACAAACATAACTATCATTTCTAAGCACCATCAAGTGACAATGCTGACTAGTGTGTGTAAAAATTGCAATCCTGTCCTGGCATTACAGTCTGGTGTACTATCCAAAATAACATTGGTTGGACCTTACTGCCTCCATTGGACAATGAATGCAGAAAGTTATGTGCACATGCTGGAAAATCATGTTCTCTCCATGGTGTCAGCATAACCTGATTTCAAAGTGCATTTTATGAAAGAGGGGGCACCTCCTTCCTTTGTGCTGGTGTCCAGGAAATGGCTATAGGATCATTATCCAGACTGAGTCATTGAGTGACAAGGGGACACTGAACGGCATGCAAGAAGTCTCAACTCAACTTCAATGGACTATTTTTGTGGAGTTATCTGAAAGAGCAAAGGTACCATACAAAACCTTGTGATATCCAAGCTTTGAAAGCAGCAATTCAGAAGAGGTCATTTGCAGATTCACAGAAAATGCACAGTGAGCAGCATCTGCACATTCTGCACACAATACTTGAAGAAATGTGCATCAAATGCTGGAGAACACACACACAATTCTAATTCTCAGGATATTCTGAACAGTATATAATTATATTTTTGTGTTTATTCAATTGTAAAACTGATTTTTGTGAAAAATATATAGAGAACATAATTACAGTGTCTGTACAGGTAATTCCATCTGAGATTCCCTGACCAATTATGACATTATTTCCTGACTTATTAATGTCTCTGCATGTCCCCTTTTCATTATGTAATTATTGGCCAAGTCTATTTAAGCCAATTTTGCACAGAATCATATAAATTTTTTATTAAAAAACACTTTATTCACTTAAAAAATTTTTTAATTTTTACGTAAAATCAATTACGTAATTAGCTACGTCATTTCTACATCATATAAAAAATTTCATGATTTAATTTAAATTAATTAGTAAATTTTATTTAAATAAGAAAAAGACTTGCATTGTGTTATAAAATCAAATTTTCTTAAAGCACAGAGGCAGTAAATTCAAAATAATTTAAACAGAAGAACTTGCTTATCACATGTTATTTTTAATCTAGCACGGACCCATTCAAGGTCATTACATTTCTTCCCATCCCTTCTGTGGGAGCAGCGAAGTTTTGGCAGAAAAGCAGTTGTTGTCGATAATGTTTTTGAAAACATGATTTTAACTCTATGGCAATATTTGTTATACTTTTGAAATTCCGTAGGCCATCTGAAGATGGAAATTTGCAATTTAGAGAGAAGACATATCACAGATCATCAATCTGTCAAAATTGGGAGGATTATCTCCACATACTGTTTGTGGCCAGCAGTAAAGAATATAATGAATAAAAATATGTAAATTGCGTGAAGTCCATCATGTGGTCCAAAATGTCCCATATACAATATTGTTAAGACAAGTGACTGTTCTTTTTCTCCCCCGCAGCATCAACTGACTGCAATAAGTTAACCAAACGTCACACAAGTCGAAAAACTTGAAAGGGTTGTGTATGGGAGACAATCACAATTGTTTAAGGTGTGAATTTGTCTTTATGTTATTACAGAAAAGATGTAAGCAAATAAAGTCTTGGTGGTTATCACATTCCAAGTCAATATCTATCAGTTCAGGCAGCAGTGCACTCGAAATATTCATGTCTGAGTTGAGCCACTCAGTTTTCTTACATTTTCTATACAATCTGCATTGTTCAGGCATTAGTCTTTTGGGTTTTTCTGATACCTTTTAAATTTTTCTTTCCAATTTCCTTTGCAATTTCTTGACATATAAAAATTTTTTTCAACTCGCACAATTATTGACTTATAACTTTACAAATTCAATTTTATTAGTTATTATTACTAAACAATAACTGATAAAATAGAATTTGTTATTATTGCTAAAAAATATTGTAGATCCTGTCATTCTGTATAAATCAACACCAATTTCAACATCCTATCTCTTCACAATCCAAAGTTTCACTGCCCAAATGCTGCACCAAGTTGGCATTTTCAGTGTTCACAGACAACTGCTACCCCTCGTTCGCACACCCCATTTCCACTCCCCCTCACCATTACCCACCATTTTAAATATGAACATAAACCATCTACCCAACAAAATTTAAATCATTAGATTATCATTTATATTAGGTTGTTCAGAAAGTAAGTTCGTTTTTTTTTTACCACTAGATGGATTAGTCGTACCTTTCTCGCCATTTTCATTCTAAACCGTATTATCATTATATATTTTGACAGCTAGCATTTTAAGGCTTATTTGTAAAAAATTTTGTTAGATTCTGTGCAATTGTTTATTTTTTGTGTTCCATCAAATATGGAAGATTGGAAGCAGCATTTTCGGATTATTTTGCTCTTTTATTACAGAAAAGGTAAGAATGCTGTTCAAGCAAGAAAAAAATTGTGTGACGTGTATGGAGAAGATGTATTGACAGAACGACAGTGCCAAAACTGGTTTACAAAATTTTGTTCTGGCAATTTCAATATTGAAGATGCACCACATTCTGGATGGCCAGTTGAAACCAATGAAAACAAAATAAAGGTACTGATTGAAGCAAACTGCCGAATAACAACACGTGAAATCACTGAGATTAAATTTGTCAAATTGAACTGTTTATGATTACTTGAAACAAATTGGTTTCGTTTCAAAGCTTGATATATGGGTTCCACATGTTCTTAAAGAGAGATGCTCTCTTTGGTGGGATTTTAAGGAAATTTTTTTTTGGAGCTTTTACCAGACAATTTAACAATTGATTCGAAAGTGTACTGCCATCGAGTAAACAAATTGAGTAATATCATCAAACAGAAAAGGCGGCCAGAATTGATCAACAAAACAGGTGTAGTGTTTTACCACGATAATGTCAAATTTCACACAAGTTTGGTAACTCGTCAGAAACTGTTATAACTTAGATGGGACGTGCTATCACACCAACCATATTCGCCAGATCGAGCACACTCAGATTATTACTTGTTCCGGTCTATACAAATTTTTTTTAACTGTAAGACATTTACTTGAAATGACAATGTCAAAAATCACTTGGATCAGTTTTTTGTAAGCAACGATTAAAACTTTTATGAATGTGAAATCATGCTACTACCAGAAACGATGACAACAGGTATTTGACCAAAATGGTTGAAATATAATTCAAAAAAATATTTATTTATTATAAATATTGTGTTTTTTTCCATGGAAAAAAAACGAACTTACTTTCTGAACAACCCAATAGTTTATGAGATAAATGACAAGAGTTGTTGTGCTTATGTTTGGTCGCTTTAGTTTTCATACACTCCCTACACTGAACCAAATTTAAAAAGATGTGTTTGGATCAAAAAAGAGCGAGTGCAACAGATGGATTCTGTGGTATTTGCAATTCCCTGACTTTTTCTGTTAAAAATCTTATTCACTGACTTGAAAGTCAGGAAATAAGATTCAGGTCTGTATGAACCCTGTAATTATGAAATACACTGTAGTTGTAATGTTAATTTAATTCTAACCAACATCATATTTCTTGTATTTTATAGTTTTCAGTGTAGTACTACAAAACATTTTAATTTTTTGAAAAAATGTGTTTTCTTTTCTTTTTTTCACTGTGCAATTAGCATATCACAGATTAATGAGTATTAGATTTATTAGTATGGTTTATAAAAATAAACAAAACAGATTTATATTGATAGAAATAAATATGCCTATAAGTTAGTCGTATTGTTGTTATAATATTTTAAATATAATCTAAATAAAAAAGATACAAACAGAAAGACAAAAAAACAAAAAAAAAAATGTTATATTAAAAAAAACTGTTAGATATGAAAATAAAAATCTTTATTACATACATCTTCAATTATAAATGTCCAATCTTTATCTTCAAATTGATTGCTACGTTGATCTCTAAATAACGTAACTGTAATTTCTATATTTTCAGGAGTAGGCCATACAATTAATCCTCTATATGGATTATAAATTGTTGGTTCCCAACTGTGAAACTGTAAAGTAAATAAAATTTTTAAAAATATCTAATTATAGTTTGCTTAAGCAGAGTTAAATCTAGCTAAGTCTGATTTAATTAAATTTATAAAACTGTCAAAACTTTTATTATTTTTCAACTTTTAATCAAATTGAAAAATAATCCAGTTCACTATTGATATCCCTCCAGCATTTTATTCATTATTTTACTTTTATATATTAGTGTGGTGCTTAAAATATGGAAAAAAATAAATTGTTTACTTTTTGGTGGTCCTACCCTCCAGAACTATTCCAACTGGTCTCAAATTACTACAGAAGAAATTTAAACTTGATATATTAATATTTAGAGGTAGCTCAATGACCACAAAGTTTATAAAAAGAGCAATTTATGACAAATGAAAATATACAAGACCTGTTTTGATAAACCAGACTTGTTTCACTTTTTTTGGACAAAAAGACAAATTAAATAGTCATGTAGACTCTACAACATTAAGAAATTTGATGGATTACAAACCAAAAATGCAATGAAAAAATTTTTAAACAACAATTCACAAAATTTGAAATTTTCAGTACAACATTCAAAGCAACTTTATCAGTTTACTTTGGTAGAGTCAGAGCGTTTTTCTTTCTTGTTGTCTGGATAAGCCTGATGGTGCTGTTGAACAACTTGCAACAAATATTGAAGTTGTAATTCATCATGAGTCATTAGGCCACTGAATTTCTGGATGAGTGCAACCATGTGTTCTGCATGGTCTTTAACAACTTTAATGCATGTACTGACTCTGCAGCCTTCTGGTAGTCCTCTCTATCTTTCCACAGATCAGGATCTACAGTGAGAAATGTATCTGAAAGTTCCATTAATTCAAACAGAGTCTGTGACTTTGCAAATATAAAATCCTCAAGATTTTTTCCCATGAATATGTCCAGATCAACACTAATTTGCTTAGTGTGGCCCTATTCAGTGTCGTCATCATTTTGCATTGCTGTAATTATTAGCCTCTTTGTAGCAGAACTTACATAGTTGTTGAAAAAAGCTAAAGTAACCAAATCTGGCAACAAATACTGTAAGTGTTTAGAAAATTTGAGAGATGCTGCCTTGGATATTGTCGCGTTGACTGTTGAGTATTCATGAAAGTGATTTCAGAAGATGAAGATCATTTTAAGTAAAAATAATAAGTTTTACACGGACAACGATGAAAGAAATGACTGAAACAAAAAATTTTTTTTTGTAAAAGAGTCGTACTTATATTTATTATATTAATGAAGATCATTGTTAGGAGCACTGGCTACCAATACTGAAATCCAGGCTTTCAAGTACACATGTTCAGCAAAGACACACACATCCTGTAGTCTCTTCTCTTCTTGTTTTTATTAAGTGGAACGGGCCCTAAACATCTACACCTTCAAACTGTAAATTACCTTTGAGAGTATAAGTCACTGAGTCAGCCTCAACTAGAAACAGGGAAAACCATTTGCAGCAAGACTTGATGGTATCAGCACAATAATGATCATGAGTCATGACAGAAATTAATTTTGTGGGAATGTCATGTAATTAATGTGTGATTAATTGAATGGTTTATTTATTGAGATGACCAACTACAGTTTTACAAACTGTTGTACTAAAATGGATACATTGTGGTTCAAGCTTGTGATTGCCATTTGCTCATCTTTACTATTTGGAACCTATAAAACTTCAGTGACATTGAGCTACTGGTAAATATTCGCCAATGGAGTAGAATTTTGGCACAAATTTTTTCTATATATATTTGAACAGAAATAGAGGGTAGGAAGTTTACATTTACAAATTGTGAAAATAAGTTTCACCCTAATATATATACATGAAACTTTGATATACCATGAGCTTCTCTTTTTCTATTATAGTCACAGTCACAAGTTAATTTTTAAAGTTCAAAAATTTAGTATTACAACAGTTGTAGAAAATTTGTTGCAATTTTTAAAATTATCAAAATAAATATAAATATTCTAACTTTGACATTACAGATTACTCCACTAATGTTAATTGTGTTCCAGTGACTCTGCTAGTTAACTAAGTTATGTTCTGATAATTGTGTATAGATGTTCAAAAGACTTAAAAAATTATTTTTTTACATTTAGTCTCCAATACTGTACATTCAGATAATATAGTTTTGAATCTAAATTTTAATTTAATTGTTCAAAAGCAATTTTATGATAACATATATGAAACTATTTTAAGATTAGTAATAACAATTTTTAAAAATTTTATCAATCATAACAGCTTTAAGATAGCCTGTTACAGTAAGGCAAAAATTTGTCAATGACTTTAGTAATTTGTGTAATAATGAAATTTTTAATATTAATAACCTTAATTCAACATTATTGTAAAAAGTAATGTAATATAACAATACCTGTGAACAATATCTACGATTTCTCCGTGTCCAAACAACACACAACTTATTTGGTTGCCTAAAAAAATCAAAAATTATAAAATAATGTCATAAGAATGCATTGTAATAAGAANAAATGTAGTTTTGAAATAATCCATAAATAATTTAATTGTTTGCTTTAACATAAACTAATATAACTCAAAGTATTCAATATATTTGTTATAACTGATAACTATTCAAATAAAAAATATCTATACATAGATTTAAAGCCTCACTTTTTATCTAGTGCTGAGTTTTATAGATCTAAATATCACAGAAAATAAATTTTCATGGTTTTAACCTATTTGCTGCTGGCCTTGCTTTCAATTCAATTTAATAATAATTGCAATAACTTTTTAAAATATCCAGCAGTAGATTGCATAACTTTCTCAGCAAAAAATTAAAATTCAAAATCAAAGCTGGAACAGATAATGCAAAATCAAAATCATTCACACTTTTCTAGCAAGTGGGTTTAATGAACAAATATACAAATGTTTTTGATTTATTTTATAAACCTGGCTCAGTTTTAAGCTACAAAATTCTGAAATTCCAAATTGAAATGTTTCAAACATTCAATTACGTTATTTATAAAATTTTTATATAAACTGAAAATTTTATATATTTGTTCATTAAACCCATTTGCTGGAAAATTGTGAATGGTTTTGGTTTTATGATAACTTATGATAAGTTCTCCATAGCAATTTTGTGCTTAATTCCAAAGAACAAACATAACTATCATTTCTAAGCACCATCAAGTGACAATGCTGACTAGTGTGTGTAAAAATTGCAATCCTGTCCTGGCATTACAGTCTGGTGTACTATCCAAAATAACATTGGTTGGACCTTACTGCCTCCATTGGACAATGAATGCAGAAAGTTATGTGCACATGCTGGAAAATCATGTTCTCTCCATGGTGTCAGCATAACCTGATTTCAAAGTGCATTTTATGAAAGAGGGGGCACCTCCTTCCTTTGTGCTGGTGTCCAGGAAATGGCTATAGGATCATTATCCAGACTGAGTCATTGAGTGACAAGGGGACACTGAACGGCATGCAAGAAGTCTCAACTCAACTTCAATGGACTATTTTTGTGGAGTTATCTGAAAGAGCAAAGGTACCATACAAAACCTTGTGATATCCAAGCTTTGAAAGCAGCAATTCAGAAGAGGTCATTTGCAGATTCACAGAAAATGCACAGTGAGCAGCATCTGCACATTCTGCACACAATACTTGAAGAAATGTGCATCAAATGCTGGAGAACACACACACAATTCTAATTCTCAGGATATTCTGAACAGTATATAATTATATTTTTGTGTTTATTCAATTGTAAAACTGATTTTTGTGAAAAATATATAGAGAACATAATTACAGTGTCTGTACAGGTAATTCCATCTGAGATTCCCTGACCAATTATGACATTATTTCCTGACTTATTAATGTCTCTGCATGTCCCCTTTTCATTATGTAATTATTGGCCAAGTCTATTTAAGCCAATTTTGCACAGAATCATATAAATTTTTTATTAAAAAACACTTTATTCACTTAAAAAATTTTTTAATTTTTACGTAAAATCAATTACGTAATTAGCTACGTCATTTCTACATCATATAAAAAATTTCATGATTTAATTTAAATTAATTAGTAAATTTTATTTAAATAAGAAAAAGACTTGCATTGTGTTATAAAATCAAATTTTCTTAAAGCACAGAGGCAGTAAATTCAAAATAATTTAAACAGAAGAACTTGCTTATCACATGTTATTTTTAATCTAGCACGGACCCATTCAAGGTCATTACATTTCTTCCCATCCCTTCTGTGGGAGCAGCGAAGTTTTGGCAGAAAAGCAGTTGTTGTCGATAATGTTTTTGAAAACATGATTTTAACTCTATGGCAATATTTGTTATACTTTTGAAATTCCGTAGGCCATCTGAAGATGGAAATTTGCAATTTAGAGAGAAGACATATCACAGATCATCAATCTGTCAAAATTGGGAGGATTATCTCCACATACTGTTTGTGGCCAGCAGTAAAGAATATAATGAATAAAAATATGTAAATTGCGTGAAGTCCATCATGTGGTCCAAAATGTCCCATATACAATATTGTTAAGACAAGTGACTGTTCTTTTTCTCCCCCGCAGCATCAACTGACTGCAATAAGTTAACCAAACGTCACACAAGTCGAAAAACTTGAAAGGGTTGTGTATGGGAGACAATCACAATTGTTTAAGGTGTGAATTTGTCTTTATGTTATTACAGAAAAGATGTAAGCAAATAAAGTCTTGGTGGTTATCACATTCCAAGTCAATATCTATCAGTTCAGGCAGCGGTGCACTCGAAATATTCATGTCTGAGTTGAGCCACTCAGTTTTCTTACATTTTCTATACAATCTGCATTGTTCAGGCATTAGTCTTTTGGGTTTTTCTGATACCTTTTAAATTTTTCTTTCCAATTTCCTTTGCAATTTCTTGACATATAAAAATTTTTTTCAACTCGCACAATTATTGACTTATAACTTTACAAATTCAATTTTATTAGTTATTATTACTAAACAATAACTGATAAAATAGAATTTGTTATTATTGCTAAAAAATATTGTAGATCCTGTCATTCTGTATAAATCAACACCAATTTCAACATCCTATCTCTTCACAATCCAAAGTTTCACTGCCCAAATGCTGCACCAAGTTGGCATTTTCAGTGTTCACAGACAACTGCTACCCCTCGTTCGCACACCCCATTTCCACTCCCCCTCACCATTACCCACCATTTTAAATATGAACATAAACCATCTACCCAACAAAATTTAAATCATTAGATTATCATTTATATTAGGTTGTTCAGAAAGTAAGTTCGTTTTTTTTTTACCACTAGATGGATTAGTCGTACCTTTCTCGCCATTTTCATTCTAAACCGTATTATCATTATATATTTTGACAGCTAGCATTTTAAGGCTTATTTGTAAAAAATTTTGTTAGATTCTGTGCAATTGTTTATTTTTTGTGTTCCATCAAATATGGAAGATTGGAAGCAGCATTTTCGGATTATTTTGCTCTTTTATTACAGAAAAGGTAAGAATGCTGTTCAAGCAAGAAAAAAATTGTGTGACGTGTATGGAGAAGATGTATTGACAGAACGACAGTGCCAAAACTGGTTTACAAAATTTTGTTCTGGCAATTTCAATATTGAAGATGCACCACATTCTGGATGGCCAGTTGAAACCAATGAAAACAAAATAAAGGTACTGATTGAAGCAAACTGCCGAATAACAACACGTGAAATCACTAAGAGATTAAATTTGTCAAATTGAACTGTTTATAATTACTTGAAACAAATTGGTTTTGTTTCAAAGCTTGATATATGGGTTCCACATGTTCTTAAAGAGAAATGCTCTTTTTGGTGGGATTTTAAGGAAATTTTTTTTTGGAGCTTTTACCAGACAATTTAACAATT